ATTCGGGGGATCGGAGATGAACTCCAGATAGAGGCCGTTGCGTATGGTGTTGAGCACCCATGAGTCCGTGCTGGTAGCCTCCCATTGGCGGGCAAAGAGAGATAGTCTGCCCCCTATGGGAAGAACCCCCAGGGAGTCACTTGGAACGCCGGAATGGACGGCCGCTCCCCCGAAAGGGCCGCTTACCCTGAAATTGTTGTCTGGGTCTAGCTGATTGAGCGTCGTATTGTCTGTCCTGCCTGTCCTGCCTGGCCGGAAAGGGACGAAAAGGCTGGAAGGACTGGTTATAAGTGTACCTGTTGTTAGGCCGAAAGGACTGTTTGCGGGGATAAAAGGACTTACGTTTTTCCGACTTGTTCAGAAGGTGGTTGAGGACCTTGCGTTTGTCCTTATTTTCAGTAAGGTACGGTTCCAAGGCTCCACCAAACAGTTTGCCTCCTTGGTATGGGGCCGATGACAGGCGCCACTTTGACTTGACGTCGGCACGCCAATGCTTCAGCCAAAGCATACGCCGCCCAGTGATGCTGGAGGCCATAGCCTTGGAGGCAAACCTGGTGGCTTGGAGAGATGCATCAGACGCATATTCCATGGCCGCTATCATTTTACTAAGGTCCTGGTGAGAGCGGACATCATCAGCTGGAGTCCTGGCCTGAAGCTGTTTGAGCCAGCGATGGGCGGATCTATTAAAGAATGAAGCGGAGGAAGCCGCTCTAATCGCCCAGGCCGCCGCCTGATGGGACTTACGATAAGCGAGTTCGGACTTACGGTCCTCCGCTTTGAGGGCTTCCGAGACGTCTCCGGGAATGGCGGTGGCAGATACCAGGGGCCCTAAAGGTTCATCCACCGCCGGTACTTCCAATGCTTCCTCCAGCTCCTTAGCTACGTTATAAAGTCTTTTATCCGTCGCGCTAGGCAGAGGGAGGGAAGCTGGGGAAGCCCACTGTTTCTGTATAGCGGCCATGAACATGGGGGGGCATGGAATGCGGTGCTGAGCCGCCACGGGCTCAATAAAATTGGGATCTAACTCCGGATCCGGGGAAACAGTGTCCACCATTGAAGGAGGCTCAGAACCCCGGTGAGCTGTGGATGCGACCTTCCGGAGCAGGGTGACGAAAGCAGAAGGGTTAAACATTCCACTGAATGTCGGGGCATCAGGGGAAGTCTCCTCCTCCTCAGACATTGGAAGCCCTTGGTCCGTGCCCTGGTCATGGAGGGATAGACCCTCTGAGTATGAGGAACCTGATGGTGAAGAAGGAGCGTCATAATTCTCCTCCGCCTGACCCTGTGTAGGGATGGGACTGACAATTGGAAGTCTAGGCGGAATCGCCCTGGCGTTCAAGGCGCTATCAACTGCTCGCGCAATCAAGAAGGTCAGGCGCTCCTCTGAAGGCATTGGGACAGGCTCCGCAGGTCAGAGGCCTGCTGCTGTAGGAGTGAAGGTTGCCTCTGGAAGGCTGAAATGTGACCGCGGAGCAGGAGGTATGGGGGAATGAGAGGGTGAGGACACACGCACTGTGGGTACGTCTGGAACCCAGGTAGTTTCTTGGGACTGACTAGGTAATATTAGTGGTCGGATAAGGACAGACACACTTAGAGTATGACACGAATCCGGCTCAATTTGATGAGGAAAGGACAGGTGCTCTGTGGGAACACCTGGAATCCTCACGTCCCAATGACACAACAACTGACACGAAATTGAGTGGCCCGAATGATTAGACGTGTCAGCCAAGCAGACCAGGAGACACTAGGCCTGAAAAAAGGAGTTTCCTAAGGCCGCTGAGAATTCCTAACGCGTGAGAGCTATGGCGTTGCGAAGAGAAGGCGAAGTCCCGCCCGAGGTGGCCCTCAAAATGGCGGCCGAGTCTTAAAAGGGCGTTTATTCCCTAATGCCGCCAGACCCCTTCCCTCCCCACAGCAATAAACAAGGAAATCTGTGGAGCAATCGAGGGAAAAGGGCCTATTTTTCCCTTCTTTTGTTCCTTAGCTGTTCGGGAACTTCCCTCGCCGCGTGCGCAAAATGGCGGCCGCGCGCGATGGCAAGTAATGGCGGCCGCGCGCGATGACAAGTAACTCCTAGGGAAATGGTAGGCCTAAGGGAAAGCAGCCTGACAGAGAAGGGCACGCCGGCTTGCGCCCCGAAGTTAGGGACGAGCGGCCGGCCGGCCGGCTCAAGTTAAGCCAGCCCGTCACCCTCGCAGGTCGCGCCCCTTCCGAGGCCATTAGCGGGCTACAGGAACGTTCCCGGCTAGTTCCCTCGTTGCGGAAATCAAAATGGCGGCCGCGCCGATGGCAACGAGGGCCGGATCGCTTCCCCCAACCTCCGAACTGCCGTCCGATCGCCAGACGGCCTCGAAAGTTAAGGCGCGCGCCTCCCCAGCCGAGTGGAGATGTTGGACCCAATGAGGTTGAGGCCGAAAACCGAGCGAGCCTCGCTTGCTGTGAGGCAAGTCTGTACCCCTCCGTTTGTCACCGGGCCGCAGCCGCGAGCTCCGGTGAGATCGGATCAATCGGAATTGGGAGAAGGAAAATTAGAAGGGTCCCCTTCTATTCTGTTATTGTAGGGAGGAGGGGAAAAGAGGAAGAAGGAGCCCCTTCTACCTATAATCACGATCCTCCCTCACTGTAGGGCAAGGAAATTTATGTCCTAACAAACCAGGTTATTAAATTAAACTAATTAGCCAAGAAGGTGGAGGATTCACCCAAAGCCAAGACTATACCTGCCTAAGAGCCAGAGTTACACGTCCGTCCATGGGCAAGATTAAGTCAAGACTGGGATCTAGGGTCCAGGACGGGCGTGGCAACTTTGGCTGACTTAATCTGATTGGGCAGGAATACAGTCTACTACCCATGGGTGGATCCTCCATCTCCAGTGCTGGAGAACTGAATGTCGTCTTGGTAAATGTTTTCTTGTTAAAATGAAAATTACTGTTAGGTAATGTGTTTTTCTGTATTTAAAAATGTCCTAGCTGCCCTAGGTTGCAATCCTATGCACACTTGGAATAAGTCCAAAGAAGCATAATTAGAGAGGGTGCTTCAAGGATTTGGTAAAAAATAAATTTAATTCCATTTCTCTCTTCTACTCTAAGATTATAATCTTCAAGTACATAATATAGAAAGAAAAGGGAATTGGGAAGGGGAAAAAAGTAAAAAACATTTTTAGTTTTAGGCTTCTCTTTTAGAGCATGTATTTTAAAGAAAGCATTACTTATTTTTCCATTCCTCTAATATTTCCTTAGATGATGATTTACATGAAAATATTAATTTATTTTGCTAGGCCATATATACATACGTATATGCAAACATACATACATAAGCATATGATCTACAGATGTACTTCTGACCAATTATACAAGTGATGCAATGGAAACTCTTGACTCAGATTTCTTTTATTTAGCAAATTTCATAATTGTCTAAAGCTGAGTTCTTTCCATCTGGGTAACTTTTTTTCCTTTTTCCTAGGCAATTATGAGTGTGGCAATCCTGAGAATTTAGAAAGTAAATGCATACCATTTAGTGTGGCCAAGGACTATATAGAGGTAAGGGGTACTGGAATATATTGTATTTGTTATCGTCACGAAATGCTTTCATTTGATTGTGCCACCTTCCCCCCCCATCAGTTTTCTGTGGTTTTCCCCTAAACCAGACCCCCCCCCCAACCTTTTGGGCACCAGGGACTGGTTCTATGGAAAGAGGTTTTGTTTGCTGCCTGCATCCCATGGAAGGGGCTTTGATTGTTTACGCGGCCCAGTTTCTGACATGCTGCAGCCCGGTGCTGGTCCACGGACCAGAGGTTGGGGACCCTTGCTCTAAGCCATTTCTTTTCAGTTTCTTTCTTTGAAAAGCCTAAATAATGTGTCTGCCCATATTTGCTCTTCTTTTTCCCTTGAGAAGCCAAATAATTCCTATATTTTAGAGCAGCTAATATTTATCTATTTCTGTTTCCATTTTTTAGTTTTTAGTAATATATATAGTTAAAAATATTATATTTATATAAAATCACTAGAATGTATCTTGTGGTTATAAAATTGTATAAAACATATACCATTGTACATTTATAAAAATGTACACCATTTCAGACAAATGGTTGTCCAATCTTTTCTTTAAAAACTTCCAGTGTTGGAGCATTCACAACTTCTGGAGGCAAGTTGTCCCACTGATTAATTGTTCTGTGAGGAGATTTCTTCTTAGTTCTAGGTTGCTTTTTTCCTTATATTACCTTTATTTTCTTGAGGGCAAACAATAAAATAATAATGTAAATAAAGAATAATAATAGTAGTATTTCATTAATAGATTAATGTAGATGACCTTAAATTTGTGGGCATGGTTTCTTACAGAATATGACTGGCTATTCAATAAAAAAATTTGAAGATGCAATACAGTGGTTATTAGACAGTGATAAGGATTCAGGAATTTGGTAAGTGATTAAGGACAATTGTTTCTAAATATACAAGAATCCCTTGAAATCTGTAACATGATTGCTCCATTTTCTATAAAGCTGAAAGCATTGAAATGGCTTGAAATATAAGAGGGATTTTTTTCTCTGTAAAGATTTATGTTTCCTAGAATTTGTCAAAATCTGGCACTAGATGACACTTTTATTTAGATCAACATTAATATTGCCTGCATATGTTGAAACCCATCAAATTACCTGCCTCCTTTTGTGAAAATATGAATTATCAAGCATCTGGAATGTCACAATTTGATGGTGGGTAGTCTGCTGTTTGACAGAACATAAAATGTAAAGATTTTGGTAAGAATGGTTAAATTCTCTATGTCTGTGGCAGCTTAAACAATGTAGCTTAGTTTATTTAAAAGATAACTCTGAATTAGGAATTTGCTAATCTTGGATCTCCTTAGGCTTGTCATAGAGAATTGTTGCAAGTAATTATACATGAAGGGCTTTTAATTGCTCTGAAGTATATAAATGCTAAGTATTATTTTTAGGTCTATCACATAATTAGAGAAATCCAAATTTGTATAAAATGAAATGATAGTAATGAAATAGAAAACTTTACTTCACTTTCAGATGATAATCCCTGCTATTATAGGCACTATTTTAAAAGACATTCTGCAACAGAAAACCTTTTCAAAGATGGTATCTATTACTTGTCTTCCTTGGTTAAAAAATATTTTTTTAAAAAATTAAAATAGTGCTGTCCAGTTAATCATGTACAAGTTGTCAATTGATCAAAGATTTCTGACAATTTATTAATCTAACCAATTAATCAAACATTGCTATGCTAATTATTATTTTTAGTCGTCATTTTCACAGACTGCTTTATTATGAAGTGCCAGACGTTTGAAAACTGCGAGCTAAATTTCTGCACAATAAATTATTCATTAAAACATATTTTAACAGTTAAAATATACTGACCAGATGCCATTCTTTAGCCGAAAAACTCATCGGATCATGTTATATAATCTAGATCTCATTGTGTTAGAAATAAAAATCTGAAACTCTGCAAAGATTCCCAACACCCTTCCTGTCTGCACTGAAGGGAAAAAAATGGAAAGAAATGTTGGAATTGTAGGGACAATATTTGCTTTATGCATCTGAACTGTTAATAGCTATGATAAAAAATATTTTCCATATGTTTGGCTAAAATGGCGGAGTTGTACTCCTATAGCTTTCCTGCATAGGAGAGCGAAGCCTGATTGGGTCAGTTCTCTCACTGAGTGAAGAAACTTTACAGACATAAATCAATATAGGACCCATTCATGGACTGTTCACTATAGAGTTGGGGAACATTTGCATTGCATATTGCACTGGTGAGGGCAAAATCATGTAGCACTCTTCTCAGATTCTTTCAGCATGGAGGTTAGGATGGGATCACATGAACCTGCTTCTCTCTATGTTGTCTGAAATACCAGTAGTTGGATATGTAAAAACATTTTTGGAATAAAAATATTTTTTCTGACTTTATATGAAAAATCAGGCATATTCCAATTCCCTGTTTTCTGCTCTTCATTTTTACTATTTAATGTTTAATATCTTGGCTTATTTTTTTTTCTTTAAAAGTAGTTGGAATATGAATGTAGTAAGTATGGTTTCATATGGACAGATTTATGGAGATTTACTGGACAATACTCCATTTACTTATGTGGGATAGTTCATATTTTACAAATGGGCTACAAATTAAAAACTGGACGGTCTCAACAGCATGTTCTGAGAGCATCCTCATTGGCATGCTTAATGACATCCTTGCTGACTTGAATTAATTCTCTGTGAACCAGCATATTCCCTTTGTGTTTGAAGTTTATTGGCTGTACAATTGTATCTAGAGACTAAACATTATTCTGTGCAAAGCACCCTTAAGTTTTGCTTAGTCTTAAAGAAAGTATCTCTGAGTGCCTATTATATATTTATAAGGACTTTTTGCCTGTCTCATCCTAATATTATATTCTCTTGAACTATGAAGGAGATATCAAGAGCTATTCAATATAGAGAGAGAACCCACCTGAATACTTAGTCCTCAGATGCAGATGAGTTGTTTGAAAGCATATTAATTTTATTGAGCAAGAAAAATGGATAGTAGCAATTTGAAGTGCATCCTTTTGTAGTTATTTGGGTACAAGTCAGCAAGTATGGTAAAATTACTCTACTCAAAGTATCTTAACTGTTTCTTTGTACTAAAAATGCTTTCTTTGGAAATGTGAATTTGAAATTCTGCTTAGAAAAGTTGCTATTGAAGCTCATAACTTTTTTAATTAGATTCGCCATTCTAATTTCAACTTGCTATCATTATGGAATTAATTTGTTTGTAGAGGCATGATTTTATGCCTTTTATACTAGATTTATTTGTTTGCTTATTTATATATTAAACATATTTTACATGTCCACCAGTCTACCAAAGGAATTATTGTTAAATCTGCTTAACAATAATTGCTTCAGTTCTCACAAAATAATTACTCTTAATTCTTAGGCTCTTTCAGACAAATCTCAAGTCACTTGGCATTCACTACTATAGCTCTAATTATGTAAAAATAATTTACATTTGCGGTATTATGTACTAAGTTCTTTAATGTAATTCTTCACTGAAGCAAAATGTGTCATATTTGTATATAGAAGTTATTTATTTTTGTGTTTGTAGCAGTGTTGACGTCCATTTGATTTCTATCAGAAAGTTTGTTCAGAATTATAATTTGGCAGAGTCTAAATGTTAAGGCTATCAATGTAGTGGTTTGAAAGTGATCATCAGTACATAGCTGTAGTTCCCTAGTTTTTATCACATATCAGTATTAATGTCTTAGCATTGTTAGTTTTGTCCAATCTATGGAATTGTTAGTATACATGAAATTTCAGCAGTTGCAAAATTCTCCTCCTCCTTAATCTCATTATTTAATTCTTGGCTGTAATGTAAAATAAATGTGTTACGTTTCTCCATTCTCCATTCTTTGTATGTGAAGAATCCCTCCTGTTACACACTATTCCATTAGGAGCTTGCTTAGAATGGCTGGTAAAATGGAATTGTATAATTAAGATTTGCTTCATATTATAGGTTATCGTTTCGAAAAACAAAATATGCTCCCTACCACTTTGCTCACCATAATTAAGAATTCCATCAACATTTACAGAGATTAAGCTACCAGAACGGGTTCAGTGTGAAAATAAGAATGTACAGCGTTTTAAAAAGCTGTTGCTAATTTGTCAATACATGCATGAATTTGCTAAATAGCATCTGTTAGGAGCAAATATGTAGCAGGACTTATCTACATATTCAGATTTTTAGTCAGTAGGTAATGAATCAAATAAGTAAAACTGATGAAATGTGCCAGTTTGAGAACGCATTAGTCTCGCCTATGATTTAGATCAGGGGTCTCCAACCTTGGCAACTTTTAAAACTTGTGGATTTCAACTCCCAGAATTCCTCAGCCAGCATTCCAGGAATTCTGGAAGTTGAAGTCCACAAGTTTTAAAGTTGCCAAGGTTGAGGACCCCTGATTTAGACAACAGATTTTCATGTATAACTTACAGTTCTGGTATAACATCAGTTAGTTATCCAAAATATGGTCATCTGGATTGGTTGGCTAATGCTTGTTCAAAGAATTGGAAACTGGGGGTTCTACTGCATTTCTGAAATTCTAATTCAGATACAGTTAGTGCTTGCTTAACTACCATTTGTTCCACAACTGTTTGAAGTTACAACAGCACTGAACAAGGGGCAGTCCACAAAGTTGCAGCTGTCAAAGTGTCCCCATGGTCACAATTAAGGTATCTAGTAACTGGTAACAACAGTTGCAGTGTCCTGTGGTCATACAATTGCTATTTGTGACCTTCCCAGCCAGCTTCTGAGAAGCAAAGTCAGTGTGGAAGCCAGCCAGAAGTTGCAAGTTACAGCCATGTGACATCACACGTAACAACTAAGTATGATTTGCTTAATAGCTGCAACTGTATTGCCATCATAAGTTGACATGATCATTTGACTGAGTTTCTGGTCCCAATTAACAATAACTAACTGTGGACTACCTGGTTATTTTTTTTTTTAAATGAATATTTTCTTCAAAGAAACAGTCTGGCATGGACACTATTTACTTTTTGTGCAGTCACTGTGAAAGTCCCATTTAAAAATGTAATATCTTGTATGCTGAGAAAAACTACAAGAAAAACTTCTTGTTTTTTGCTAGGTGACATTGCTGTGTTACTGCTTTCCAAAGCCATATTTTCCAAAGCCATATCAAACACATTATTTAGAAGCAAACAATGAAATAGAGGTTACAGTTAGTCTGTACAACTCAGTCTTTCAAAACTTTGAAAAGTGAGAAACCTCAACATTTTTATAGTTCTGATTACTATGACTCATTAGGGTTTTTTTTTTCTTTGCATTGTTCTGTCTGTCAGGTTACAAGGCAAAGAGCCTTCAGAACCAGTAACCACTGTGAAGCAAGTGGTATGTCTTGAATCTGCTCGTCCCCGGATGGGATTAGGCTGCCGATTTCATCGAGCACTATACACAGCAGTTACAAACTTATTTATATTCTTTTGGAGTAAGTTTGCTGGGGGCTGAGGTGGTGGGAGAAAAGTGTTGCTGATAGTCTATGTGCATCTTATGCAATTCAAGACCTTAAACGTTGGACAGTGAAAGCAGTTACTAAAAATTCTGGATAATTAGTCTTGTGATGTAATATCAGAGAGCAGGCTAATAAATTGTTTCCTTTATTATGTAAAAAAAAATCAAGGGTTTCTATGTGTGCTGTGCACCATCACTTTACAATTTTTGTTCAAGTGTTTGTAGCAGAGTGGATTCTCTTCTCATCTTATGAGAGAGTGTCAAGACTTGTTATTTTTCTTATTAATTGAATATTTAGTATTCTGAGTCATGTATTAGGATGGTAATCCAGAGAAGGTTAAACAATTCTAGCATATTCCCAAGAAGGTGAATTTCTTACAAAGATTCCCTACAGAGGAAATGATAGCAAAAATAAGGAGACATTATCACTACTCTGGTTTTGGAGCTGCATTATGCTATAATGAACATAGCTTTGGGGTACATGTTGTGAAAAAGCTGGGATTCAGATTTCCCCTTACTTTTGAAATTTCTGACTTTAATTTTGAAGTCAATTTTAATAAAATGAATAATCTCATGTTTACTGCTTTAATTATATAATTAGAAGGATGTAGATGTAATTAGACCTTTGCAAAAACATAAACATTCACAACAACATGTAATTGCTGCAGCAAACCAAGCTGTGAAGTTTTTAAAGGCTAACAAATGTGGTATGGTATAAACTTTAAGGGATTATAATTCAGTTAGATGCAAAATGCATGTTTCTTGCAATAATAAATGTGTTAGGTGCTACAAGATTCTTTATTAATTTAAGTATGTACTATATGTACATGGTGAGAGAAATGCAACCCCAGCTACTAAAGCTATTTTTTGTTTTTGAGAAGTGGTCAGGTTTTATGAAATCTACAAGTAATAAAAACTTTATAGATATTTGGCAGCTGTCAAGAAGCACCTCGCTATAAAATACGATTGTCTTAAGCAGAGTGCATAGATAAGACATGGCAACAGATTCTTTTCTCAAAATCTTATATTCAAGGGCAGCTCATTTGTTTTTGAAAAAATCTCTTCTTTGTGCTTCCTCTCACAGGTTTAGCTTTCCTTTGGGGGATTCTGATTCTTCTGAAATATTATTGGCGGAAAAGGGAAGAACAAGAGCAGGCCATGTATGAGATGGTGCAGAAAATCATAGGTAATGTTCTCTCTCTCTCTCTCTCTCTCTGTGTGTGTGTGTGTGTGTGTGTGTGTGTGTGTGTAGTACTCTTAGTTTCATGTTCAATACATGTTTTCCTGATTACTTATACTGAATTGTCCATAGATGCTGTCCAAAATCACTACAAAGAGTGGGAGCAGAATCTGGAACGATACCCGTATGTTGGCATCCTTCATATCAGAGATACACTCATCCCACCACAGGATAGGTGAGCTTTTCTTCATTTTATTCAGGGCTATTAATATATTCCTGCTGTAGAAGCTGTAGACCCATAGAAGCAAACCAGTTGTATCTAGCAACCAACCAACTTGCTGATAATTTGCCAAAAATATTTGGTATACGTTAGAGCAGTTTTTGTCTTCATATGTGATTAATAACTATCCTATGATAGATAGTCATAATTGTATGTTTTTAAAAACTTCCTAAGAACAACTTCCTTCACTTCAGTTTCGTTCATTTCATGGGGAAAGACTTCCTTTCCTGTTTGACTAATGTTGAAAATGAGTTGTATTGGTAATCCTAAAATTCTAATCTTTTGATAGGTTGTACATGTAACTTAAAGGTTTACAGGTTTATCTTGGATTTTTTTATAAGTTGGTTGATACCACATTGATACTGTCTTTTATGTGTTCCAAATCAGAGCATTTTGTCACTCACTTCTCAGCTTTTTGTTAGCACTACATGAAATTATAAAACATATTTAAAAGATGGTACACATTCTTTATGCATACATGTACGGGTTTAATTTTACAAAATCCATTCTCTTCCCCTGTCCCCCCGCAGGAGAAAAATGAAGCACATCTGGAATCGAGCAAAGGATTTTCTTGCCTCCAATGAATCACGGATTCAGACTGAATTGCACAGGGTCGCAGGAGAGGACATGCTGGTTTGGCGTTGGACACAACCATCTTATCTATCTGACTCTGATCATTAGCTGTCAGATGAGGCAAGACTATGTTTCAACCCTGTGCAGAGCAGCTGGCTAGGGAAGATCCTGTCGTCCGTACTCAGGTGCACTCCAGACACTAGTTAATGCTTTTAAAAAAAAAAAAAAAATAGAAATGATTCTTCAGGGTAGCCATTTTCTGTAAGAGATGTAAATGTTGATGTGTTGGGACATATCCAATGTATACATATCTCTTCTAATATAATTATTTTAAAAAAGAATCACTTTCTTAACTGAGAGCTGCCATTATCTTTTCTCTGATTCTACGGACTTCTGTTACACCGCTAAGTGAGAGGAGAGATGGGGCAAGCCTTTGGAGACAAATTGGGGAAATGGGGAGGAGGGGCTTTGTGCTTTTTTCTTAGGCAGTAGTAGTAAGAGAACCTAACTGAACGTGGCAAAATATTGAAGATTTTCACTATATTTAAAGGGTCTTGGTGAAGAGCACTATAAAGCGACATATTCCTACGACAGAGAGAGATTAATTAGGGATACCTGCAGGGTTGGCTTCAAACAGAAGGCTCTGTGATCAAGCATTTAGGCAATGCTTCCATGACTGGCAAACTGTTCTCTTTCGATATGATGGTGTGGTTTTTGTACAGGTCACCTTGTTTGTCTCCAGGCTCATCTTTCTGCCAATTATTTTAATGAGGAAAAAAAATCTTGCAGCAAAACACCATACACCTTTGCTGTAAAGTCTAGAGAACTTGTATAATGACATGCCATCAATGGCTCTAGATTCCTAATTTTTCTTAAAGAATTTATCCTACTGTTCCACAGAAGTAGCTAGAATACATTTGTATTCATAATTATATATACATATATGGACACCTTGATAAATATTTGGTTGAGGATTTTTATGGCTGTTGGCATTTTTTTAACTAGCATGTTTTATTTGCAAATACTGGTGGTATTAGCTTTAAATTTGCTCTTCTCCTCCCCCTGCTGGCCAAGTTAAAAATTTTAGGGATGAAATTTGCAGTTAAGCTATCTCTGCAATTCACAACAGTTCATTATGTGCCTCCTGCTGAAATCAGCTGAAATTTGATGCAGAGGAGATAAATCCCCCCCCCAAAAAAAATTCACCAGGCGATCTTATTGGTTAAGTGGAAGAAAAAACTGAATTCTCCTGAATTTGTAGAATAGACTGTATATTTAAAGCAAAGACAGCTAGCAGATGTGTCTATGATATTAGCCATTTTAATACACATGCATACACTCTTGATGGGATGGAATGAAACAAATCCCTGTTTTAAATATGTTTGTAATTTCTGCTGGTATGTGCAAAAACTTCCACAGTGCCTGCATCTTATGGCTTTGAATACTAGATCTGCAACCCCTTTGAAAAATGATTCAGATTTTAAGTGAGCTATTCCACTATTCATTAAAATACTCTTTTTTCCAGACTACTATATGATTTCAGTCCTTAACAGAAAGATGTTTTACTCACACATAGACCGAAGCGCTTCTTTGAATCATTTTCAAAGCATGCACAGCCCTGTTATGTATGCACACATTCATTATACTGTGGTATTTTACTATTTAACATCAAAGAGAAAATGTCAAACAAAATTTTGTATGGTTGATTAAACTGCTCGTTTATTTTTATGTAAACAGGCTGGTGCTATTTATTAAATACTTGGTCTCTATACCTTTTATCAAGGAAATAAAAATTTGGTACAAATAGGTCTGGCTGTTATTAATAATTGGAATCCTCCATCAAAGAAATTTAATTCCCTGGTTAGCATTTGTTAATGCTGTTTAAGCTCAGTTAATGCAGCAGTGGTACTGAGAATATATTTTTATAAAATTAAAATGTATTGAGAATATAGGTCACTCATAACAATACTTATGCAAACTAAGAGCATAAAATAGAAGGACTGTCTTAAATCTTGTATTTCTTCTTTAGCTTTTTTTTTCCTTGTTACATGGGGAGCACTTTCTCAAGGTTTATGACATTATTTTCTTTTACATGGTCTACAATAATATAAGTGTGCATATCTGCCTAAACTAGTTTTCCAACATCTAAAGGGCTGCCACAAAGAAGAAGGGGTCAGCCTATTCTCCAAAGCACCTGAAGGATGGTGCTTCAAGAAGCAGTGGATGCAAAGTAATTAAGGAGAGAGCCAATGCAGAACTAAGGAGAAATTTCCTGACAGAACAGAATCAGTGGAACGACTTGCTTCCAGAAGTTGTGGGTGCTCCATCACTGGAGGTTTTAAGGAGAGATTGGAAAACCATTTATCTGAAATGGTATAGGGTTTCCTGCTTGAGCAGGGGGTTGGACTAAAATACCTCCAAGGTCCCTTCCAACTCTGTTACTCTTTTATTATTTATACTTTTCATTCCAGAGTACAGGAGACAGAATAATGGATATAAAAGTTTTAATTTAAGTCTGTTAGAGAATTTTAATTTCTCTGTTGGTGAAAAAATAAATCAGAAGCTCTCACAGTTGACTGCATTTAGCTGATTCAAATAACTTCTTTATATGCATATCAAAATATTTACAATACCATACATTCTTCTTTACAGCAACATAGCACAATGAAGACTTCTTACAGAGAGATACAGATACAGACCCGAGACTGAATAAAAATTCAGCTCCTAACTCAAAACCCTTTTGCACAGACTCAGTAGCACTTTCTTCACATTGGCTGACTGAGTTACCACATGACTCTTCCTGCTCATGAATATTGCAACAAAGTCCAATATTGTATTGTATTTAAGTCTAATATTCTAAGATTTTTACAGGGAAGGACTTAAATATTCCTCCAAAAGCAGACAAAAACTTACTAAATTGGGAAATATAAAACCTAAACCTAACTCATATTCTTCTACAGGAAAAGAATCTCTTATCCTGGAGATGTGATGGTCACATATACATATGAGAATTCAAAATTTACTACATATGTAATTAACAAGTGTTTAAATTTTATAGTAACACGTGATCTAAAAGGACTATTTAAATGTTGGGAGTATTTTATTTAATGATGATGATGATGCTGATTGGTCACATAGTCAGCCAGATGCCTATACTGCATTTGGGATTTCTTTCCACCTATCGAGTCTTACAAGGATCTGGGATAGGCAGATGTTTGAGGCAACAGTATTGTTTGAGGCAAAGTATTGTCACAAAATATAAGCTGTCTTTTGTAATCGACTGATGGTGACTTTGTCAGTGCTGATGCTGTTGAAGTGGTGCTACAAATGTTTTGGAATTGCATCCAAGGTGCCTATGATTACTGGTACTATCTTTGCTTTTTTTTGCCACAGTCATTCTACTTCTAACTGTAGGTCTTTGTATTTTGTGATTTTCTCCAGTTCTTAGTGTTCTGTGCTGCTGTCTCCAAGTGTTACAACATCTACTATCTGTTCTTTTTTGTCTTTTTTATCAACAGTTGTTAAGTCTGGGGTGTTATGTGACAGGTGCTTATCTGTTTGGATTCTAAAGTCCCAGAGCAATTTAGCTTTTTTATTTTCTATCACTTTGTCTGTTTTATAGTTCCACCACTTCTTAATTGCAGGCAAATGGTATTTCTTGCAGATCTTCCAGTGCACCACTGTTGCTACTTTGTTATGCCAAAGCTTGTAATCAGTCTGTGTGATCTTTTTGCAGCAGCTGCCTAGGCAGTCCACTGTTTCTTCAGCTTCTTTGCAGAGGAACTGCAAAGACAATTCTGGCTTTATATGCCTTTATTCTTAAAGCTTGGTCTTGGACAGTCAGAATTAGCCCCTCTCCTTCTTCAACTTTCCTGCTCCTAGCCATTGGCAGAACTTTTTAACTTTCCCTGCGAGGTTGGTTTGTATGTTTCTTAATGTGCTGACTATGTAGTATTGCCATATCTATTTTCTATTCTTCATTTAATCTTTCTTGTAACAGTTTGGTATCTCCAGTACTCATGGTATACTAACTCCAGCCTTCAGGGTATACTAACATCACTGCATTTTCTTCACTATCCTTCATATATTCCTCCAATGCCCATTTTTCTTCTCCCATTATCCAGGGTACTTGCAGCATTCCATGCCCACCTAGTTTCCTTGGTAAGTAGAGTCTGTCAACATTGCTGTATGGAGGAGGTGCATAATTCATTGTCACTATTTTTTCTAGTCTTCCTATCCAGGCCTTTTTAGTTCTGCTTGACTCCTATTCTCGGTTCTAGCTATTTGTATAATAAGTGTACTTGCCCAGGTATTAATTGCCTTAGTGGTATTTCCTCCACTGAGTTTGGATTTTAAAATCTTCACTCTCATGGTGTATTTACTTCTGTCCTTCTTCTTGACTTTGTTGTCAGTTTGAAGGGTGCCCAGTTATTTGTACTGATTGTCACCATCCAGACTCTTAATGTTATCTCTTTAATCTCCATAAGGCACCTTGATTCCTTCAGTTTTCACTATTTTTCTCCTGTTGATGGTGAGAGTGGCACATTTGTCCAGTCCAAACTCCATTGCAATATCTTGGCTGCATATTTGGACAGCCTTGAGCAGTAATTCTATTTCTGATGGTCTTTATCCATACAGCTTCAAATAGCCATATAAAGGAGATGGGGATAGCCCGGCACATGCTTTTGATGATTGATGGCCATGGCCTGAGTTGTTCAATGTTGTTGACAGAGGAATCACTGCACTAATAAAACAGTAGTGGTGCACTCTTTGGCTTTTTTTCTTCTTTGTTGATTTTTCTTCTACAGTATTCATTTATAACTGCAGGCATGTTATGTACATTAATTTTTTTGCTTTCAATCTTTGCATATTTGTGATGGGTTTTCTTCTTCATCTTTTCTTCCAGTAGTCCTGCAGCTGCTGGCCTTGATTGTTGAGCCCAAAGTCCTAAGTTCTGTATCCCATTTGTCACCATTTGTCCAAGAAGCACTTTCTATCGGTTCTTGCTGACCCAGGCGACTACCAATCCAGTATGGGGTTCTGTAAATTACATCTCACCATATTTATTTATTTATTTATTTATTTATTTATTTATTTAATTTATATCCCGCCCTTCTCCTTACGGACTCAGGGCGGCTAACAACCAGATAAAACACTAATCCCCAAAAACTACAAATTTAAAAACATAAGTAAAAACAAATATTAGTAATTTGGTCAAGTTAATTTAAAAATTGCTTTAAACCCCATTAAAATTTTCCC